TCCAGACTTCAGTATATCTCGGTAGCGCAGGTTTCAATTTGAGAAAACAAGAAACCAGGGGACGATCGAATCGAGACGATAAAATAAGCAGATCGAGCTGTATTGATAGAACTGTAGCCTAATCCCGAATCAAATAATTTCGTAAGAAATTCGATGGCATTTTCGACTGAAGGATTGAATGGATCAATATGATTATCCAGACAATACTGTTTCCACTTTGTAAAATGTGTTTCATACTGTTTTAGTGTTCCCGTTCTCCATGAAGACATCAGCATGTGTTGAGCTGCATTCGAAAGATTATGTTTACTTATAATAATGCTTGGCTGATAAATGGCACACTATGAGTGATAACTTGGCATGTAGTGGATGCAGGATGCAGATCCATCGGTTTCGGTGGTAGAATAAGCAGATTCTTTTGCGGTTTCAAATGAACCGGCGGTTGCACCAGCATTTGCATTGCCTTGGCAAACCAGCTTTGTGTGGGCCAATTTGGTAAAACTACAATCTTCGGACAAATTTTGCTTAACACTTTTGATACAGCACTAAGTACACTAATAGGGGGGAAAGCATAAAATTTTAAATCCGTCCATTGCATTGTAAATGCATCGACAGCTATTGCATTTGGGACAGGTCTGTAAGCTGCATAGCTAGTAAACTGGTTATTCACACGAGAAGCAAACAAATCGATGTCAGGTTGAAATCTCAATTGATGTAGTGAATCTTGTAGCATTTGTTTGTTTATCATCCATTCTAACGAATGCCGGTTACTTTCTCGTGACTCTCTATCTGCTGTTATATTGCTCGTTCCGGGCAAATAAGCAGCACTTAGCCAGATACTCTGGCAATACACCATTCCCAAGTGGTTTTGCAAATGTCATTGCAGTTTATCGAATGACTTGAACTCATGTGATTCAGAATATTCACACCTGTTGTGTTGTCTAACCTGATCCGAACATGTATATTCTAGATCTGCTCATCCTTAATAAACGTTTTTAATCCAATAAATGCAGCAAGCATTTCTATGTAATTAATGCGATGTTGAGCTTCCCTGGTCGTCTATGACTGACCCACCTGTAGAAATGTTGTTGCATTCGGCTCCCCACCCTTGTAGAGAAGCATCAGTTGTGACCTACCTTACTGGCGGTCCATGGAAAACTATGTTAAATGCAGATGTAATGTTGTGCACCCACCAGGTCAATTCTGATTTGGCGGCTTGTGATATAGTCATTACCGCATCAAAATCACCCTTGTTTTGTTTTAGTGCAAAGGTTTCATCCCTATCAAGTTTCCTATAGTAGAGAGGGCCATGCATTGTACCAGGAAAGCTAGACACCAGCTTACCAATCACCCGAGCAACCTCTTGTATTGTAGAGGATTTTTATTTAAGAGACCCTGATATGTGTGTTTCAAATTTGTTGCTTTTTCTTCAGTCAATGTGATAGTCATCATCTTGGAATTTAAAACAAATCCCAAAATGATTAAAGTTTGAGAAGGAATAAAATTACATTTTTCTAGGTGAGAAATCAAGCCCAGTTTGGCAAACAACTGAACCGTGTCCACTACATTATCCACACACTTATAGTATGTCTTCCCTTGCAAATAAAAATCATCCAAATGACCAAGAGAAATATAGCCTTGCTCATGCAAATATGATAATGGCACTTAAAATTTTTGTGAACTTTCTTGGTGCCGAAGAGAAGGCATGTGTAGCGATAATGCTGGCCATTCCACTCAAAACATAAATATTTTCGATCAGTGAGATTAATAGAAAACGAATAATATGCATCCTTAATGTCAATAGATGTCATGCAGGGCTTTCAGAATTATTCTGAGTAGGCGTCTGTTTTGATAAAGTAGGCGGCTGTTTGGAAGGGGGCGGTCTAAAATTTGAGACTTGGAACATTGATTGACCCCTCAATTCCCATAGCTCACGCGCCTTTACTTTATGACTAGTCCCTTGCTTTCACTCTCCTTCACTCATTCTCCGACTGATACTCACAATATACTAGTGCAAATTGCGCGCGAGCGGTCTGGGTACCACGAATATAACTCAAACCAACGCATGCGCATTTATCTTCTTCTTTTCGTGGCGCGCTTCGGTCAACCACAGGGTAATTTTTTGGCTCAAAATTCGTGAATTATTCATCAAGTTGAAATAAATAAAGATGTCTGATGATTCTCAGTGAAATGTAAGTAGATTTAATCGTTATTCAAGCCATATATTTCGAGATGTTTGCCTACTTGCCCACATGTTTGCCTACTTGAAAGGTACGAGTGCGTAAGCGTCATGGCCATTTGAAAACCAAAGATGTTTTGGCCTTCGATGAGGGTTTGGCTGAACAACAAGCCCCCTTTGTTATGGTGGCTCGCCCTTTGTTAGCGGCCCTAATGGCCTTGGATGATCTATCAAGGACTACCTTGAGGATGCACTGGTTATGCTGGGGAATGCACATGTTAGGCTAAACAAATGGCGCCAGAGACGCTTTAGTGAATTTTTCACCGACATTGGAAAGCGTACTCTAAAGGAAGGAATTCCAACTGACAAGCATCTGTTCCCAGATAAATTCCACGAGAAGATCAAGATGAGCATGACTCAGGTAAGTACCTAACCCTCCGGGAAATTACATTTTTTCAACAAAGCAACTTCGAGATTTAAGATGGCAAATAACTAATTCAGTTTTACGAAATAGTACGTCGTTTTCGAAAATAACCAAGCTATAAAGTATAGACCAAGTTGAGGAAAAATAACTTTGTTTGAAAGCTTAGTGTGGAGGAAGGAGAGTAGAATTGATGTTTCAACTGGCTGTAAAGCTTGTGCCGACCGCCAGAGCTCCGGCGGCCGCCGGGTTATTTTGAAAGCCCTGCCATGAAACAGCCCTGTTCCATGAGACTTATAACTGTATAAAAGTCCATTTTAAAATGGTGATACTCAACCACATCATTAAATTGCTTCAGGTTGAGAATAAGTCGATAGGAGCCATCCTTTTTTGGATGTAAAAATACTCCAGAGATAATCTGACCCAATTTTGGTTCAGTAGCCTCAATTACATTTTTATTTTGTAAAGTAAGTATTTCACGGTCTACGATTTTTGGTGTTATCCCGTTGGGAATGCTTTAACCAATGCTGAACTGGCGTTTCTCTACATTCAATCTTAACCATCTAACATCAGCTATTAGGTGTTTGTCACTTGTTAGTTTGGCCGATTAAGGCCAATAGTACGATGCTTGGCCACCTATAAACAGCTTACACCAGGCCTGTAAGTGTTGTTTCAAAATATGGATAAACAAAGAAAAGGCACTTACATTATTTTTTACTTCTTGAAGGCCACTTATGATCTTGTTTCGGATGCCGGTGGCAATCTTCTCCGTTTGTTGTTGTTGGGGTGGCCTCAGGATAAAAATGTGTATCAGAGACTGCAAAATTAAGGAGGCTAGGAATAGCCTCCTTAATTTGATCAATTAGGTCAAAACCTTTTGAGAAGTCTGCGAGGAAGATATGAGCACCAGCTTCGCCTCTAACTGTCCAATGCCTCATGAATTGTTTGCATCATGTAGAGAAGGGCATCTGTTGTTGAGTGCCCTTTGCGGGCATATTGGCGAGGGTCGATTTTACCTTCCAAGTCCTTTAATAGTCTAATGCAAGTAAAGCCTTCCATAACTTTTGCCATTGAAGAAGTAAGCGAGATTGGGCGGATATCATTTTCAATTGATTGAGGAGGTGATATCTTCGGAACCGGAATTACAATACTGATAGATGACTTAAGTGGAGATGTGATACGTTGTATCTTTATAACTTTATTGGGAATATTAACAATAACGATAAATAGGTATTACCCTAAAAAAAAAGTTCGAACGGGTCAGAAAAAGCCCATGCGAGGCACTTCCCTTATAAACTTTACAATTAAATTTACATTACACTATAAATTATAGTCGAGGTAAAGCTCGATTTGCGTATACCCACAAACTGATCTCCCAAATACGTAAAATGCAGATTTTGGAAAAATTGTACAGAAAATAAAACTAACTTGGTTTTGAAAACATGTGACTTGGGGAGGTCCACGAAACTAACTTTACTTCAATCAAAGGACTATACATTATTTTAATTTCTGTGAAATACATTATTTCAATTTCTGTATCTATGAAAGTTTCCGAACTGTTTACGATAAACGGTTTTATCATTCATCATTAAGCATTTTTTGTTTATGATCCAGTGTATGATCCAGTGGCGTTGTGTATGATCCAGTGGCGCCATTTCGGCGTCATGCGGTAATCCGTAATCATATCACAGAGCGCTTGTTTGTCCCGCCTGGGCGAGTAAGGCCACGGTCAAACGTCGAACTTTTCATGTGCAGAACCTAATGCAAATGAGTAAAACAAAGAAGTTCATTAACTCATTAACATTAGGTTCAGCACATGAAAAGTTCGACGTTTGACCCTGGCTTAACTCGCGCTGCCGGGTAACTCGCCTCCATATTGACAACCATTCAGACGTAGCCGACAGCCGTCCATGCAATGCGATATTTTGGACTTTATCGTTGCTTTATTAAATGAGTTGTTTATATTGTTTACGGGGGGGGGGGCTATTACTAATTGTTTTATAGTTTGATGAAATCTGTACTAAAATCACTAATTCAGTTTTGTGATTGGTGCGGTTTAATCAAAGAATCCTCCCGTTGAACCAGAGCCTTCGCGACGTTTCAATTTATTATTTACTGAAGGCTCTGGAATCCAGGGTACTCTGCGTCAAGTGTTCTTCGAAATTTTCTAAACCTATAATTTCATCAAAGTATGTGAATTTCACAATGGTAGTACTAAATTACCCACTATAGTTTAGCTGCAGGAAATTGCACAGTAAAGTAAAAATTATATTACTAAAGTGTGTACCTGCTGTCACGTATATCCAAAATATTAAATCCTTCCACAGCTATAAATAACCATTTAAGCCGCATATAATCAAATACACACTTTTAGGAGGATAACGTTCGCCATTTAAATTTTTTCTGTGTTGGTGCAGTGTACTCAGGTGAATATGATATTTGTGGTGTTACTCTGAGTGTATATCCACACCGGGCGAGCTTGAAAAATATGCCCGGCCACGGTGGGATTCGAACCCACGACCTTTGGAATACTAGCCCAATGCTCCCCCAACCGAGCCACGCGGTCAGGACGGTTCGAGTAAGTGATATTTCGGAACAGAATCTAGTTCCTTCGATACCAATGTATTCTAGTAATATGAATTTTTTCTGTGTTGGTGCAGTGTACTCAGGTGAATATGATATTTGTGGTGTTACTCTGAGTGTATATCCACACCGGGCGAGCTTGAAAAATATGCCCGGCCACGGTGGGATTCGAACCCACGACCTTTGGAATACTAGCCCAATGCTCCCCCAACCGAGCCACGCGGTCAGGACGGTTCGAGTAAGTGATATTTCGGAACAGAATCTAGTTCCTTCGATACCAATGTATTCTAGTAATATGAATTTTTTCTGTGTTGGTGCAGTGTTGGTGCAGTGTTGGTGCTTTTTCTGTGTTGGTGCAGTGTACGCTTCGCCAAAACTTGCTGAGCCAATGAGCAAGGCTAGGCACCGACATTTCAGCTAGAGGCACTGTTGAACCTTCGATCTGTAGCGAATCATGTTCATCAGATATATGCGACACCGACACACGCTGTTTTGTCAAGCCGATTGTTTTGCCACTCCTCAAATACTCGTTTTGCCCACTTTGTGTTATATCGCGTATTTTTGGGCACTGATTCTTTAACAAACAAACTTTCCTCATCTAACATCTTCGGCTCACGAAAACGATACGACATTCTTCGATAAATCAAGTTGTCGCAAATTTTGTAATCACAATACTCTACATGAGGCTATCGCTACGAACCCGTGAACTAGATGAAAGCTTAAAATCTAAAATTTATGCATTTTCAACCCTGTATTGTGTGGTTTCTCTCCCGTGATACTTAACAACTGAATACCTGAGCACAAAAATGCCGAAAGGAACAAAGCAAATACTCATTAAGCTTCGTTTATTCATTTCACAAGCACGTTACAATATTCGCGACAGATCTACGCATACAGATCTTAAAAAAATCATGAGCAAAATACAAAAGAAATGAATGTTTAATCGATGTTTGTAAACCGGATAAAGATTTGTCCTGATTTACATAAACTTCAGCTTCGATTTTCTCGGCTTAGACAATGTTTATTTTTAAAATTACTTCGCCAATGAAATTATAAGATGGGTCGTTTTTTAATTTTTCAGATCAGTTTAATTGTATATCAGATCAAGATCGACTGCTCATGTTTTAACTAGTGAGCCTACATAATAATCGGAAATTAAGTTAATTAAATTAAAGAATAAAGATTGATAGTCGTTCCCCTCATCTCTGGTTTTGCTCAACGTCATAAGCAGCATCATTTCTTGCAGCATTCACACACAACGATTGATAATTATCTTGTGCATTCAAACTCAAAAGATCAAGCTCTTGATAAGTTGTAGGCCTACCAGCTTCATTTGTCATTGGTTCAGGTTTTGTTTGATGTCGTCTGTTTCTGAAGCAAATAACAGATATATAATGATGTCGTCTGTTTCTGAAGCAAATAATAGATATATCCATGCTAGGAAATTATAAAAGTACATTATGATTCACCAACAATTAACCCGGATATTTAAGTCGCTGTTCTCTAGCACTTGTTTCTGGAAAGTACTGATCGATGCGCAGAGGCTTGACGACAACGCGCACTGAGCCACTAAATAGCGGATTTTTACGCCTGATATGGTAAGAAATTGGATGGCAATATGTATTACCAAAATCAGGACTATAAACATAGGAATGTGTAACAGGATCCTTTTGCAATACCGTCTATCAACGTGCAGTGGCGTAACGTTATATCAGGGGGCCCCCGGTTCAAAATTTTCGAAGGCCCCCCCTAGTAGAAGTACCAAAGGCACGAGTCGAGCGCCGTATATGCACGAGTTTTCTAGGGGGTCCAGGGCATGCTCATCCGGAAAATTTTTGAATCTAGACTCTCTGAAATGCCATTTCCTGGACTTTGGGGAGAGAATTTTGATGGTCATAAAACATCATTGTAACATATCAGAGGCCCTGACCAATCCCCCCATTTGGGTTGGGGCCCCCGGGTTCTCCCGGTCTGAGCCCATAGTAGTTACGCCACTGTCAACGTGCTTTACAATATAGAAACTCGCAATTGCAGCCATAACATCTTCGAACAAATATAGATCAAAACCATTAAAAATAACTAAATGTTAATGTGATTTTTACACACTTTATTCAACCCGCGACTCAATAAAATACACGGTTTAGAGCTTTTTTACGACCCGCGACTTGTTACCCGCGACCCGCGACATTTTACCCGCGACCCGCGACTTTTTACCCACGACACGCGACCATTAGTCAAACTCGCTGCATTTTAGTCATTCTCGTACCCAGAGCCCTTCTTACACGCGGTGCGACGAGGGGCTCTGGCCAAATCCATATCAAACTGGTATCTGATTGGCCACAACAAAGGTTATTGTTCTAATACCGGATATATTCTATTACCATGTTTTTATGGTATCCGGTTATGGATTTGGCCAGAGCCCCTCGTCGCATCGCGCGTAAGAAGGGCTCTGGGTAAGAGAATGTAGTATAGTATACTACAATTCGTTCAAAAAATGTGCGCATTTCGGAGACTGGTTCTAGAATGTTTTCATGAGCAGAAAACCACCAAAATTACATTAAATTTTTCGAAAATCATCGAAATGTATTTAAATTCATCTTTCCAATGCATACAGCTAGCTATGCGACAAGTAAATAAACGAGAAAAAATGTTAATTAATTTATTGTATATATAGAGGTTATTCTTACCCAGCGCGATTTATGATTGCGTAAATCGTACACGGCCAAGGGTACAGTAGCAGCCGAGCCGTACTACTCTTTAATACAATACTTGCAATAGATCACGGCTACCAGCCGGGGTTATTAAAAACTGTTAAAAAGTCATTGCGACTACAGGTTAAAACGTGGTGAATTTTGGTTAAAACAGTAGCTTCTACAGTTAGTTATCATTGCATGTACCAAATTTGAGAAACGCAACTAAAACATTGAGCACGCAGTGACAATTTTTCTGAAACAGGAATCTATCATATGATGTAACCTTAATTGCAAGATGCTAGAGCTTAGATCTTGAGCTCTGATTGGTGCATTTGATTCAAGCGCAAATTTGAAATAGTTATTGGCCGTTGACCAATCTGCGTCGTTTTGGGGGAGATTTATTCCTTTCTTTAACACTGGGAAATTCTGATTACTTGCGTCGTTTGCCATGGCATCGAATAATAATAATAATAATAATAAAATATTTATTTTAACTACATAATTGTGTCAGCTGACAACACGATGATCGCATTGATCGCTGGTATTAATACAGGTGCAGAAATCCTCTTCAGTTCCTACCCGCTCAGCGCCCACTCCATCTCATTCTCAAAAAACTGCCAGTTTACAGTTTAAAGACTACAATCTAAAAATAATTAATAAACGCATTGGAGATTGCTACAATTTGTACATCATGCAATAAAAAAAGACACATCAAGAATATTCGGAATATAGACTATTCCATTATTGTAGGCATTTTTATTTTTGTATACCTTCTAAGATAAAAACCTTATAAGTTCGAACCATTTAGCCGTTTTAGCACTTAGCAGAATGATTGATTGATTGATTGATTTTAATAATCGTAATTTGCAGTTACAATAAAACAACTGAATTATATACGATGTACAGTGACTAAATAACCTAATAATATGTACATAACAAGTAATAAAAATTGGATTAGATATATGATTATAATACAATTTAAAAAATTTAAATTACTGTTGAAGACTATTAGCGATTATGAATGAGTTCTTATACCGATCAGTTCGAATTCGAGGTAGATGGAATTTGCTACATTGTCTTAGGGAATACGAACAAACTTTTTTCTCCGGAACTAGTGAATGTAATTTATGATCTGTCATTTGGGCCTCTTCAAAAAGTTTGAGGCAAGCAGCTGTTCTACGATCAAACAATAAATCTAACTTCGAGGTTTTAATAGCGTCCTCATAAGAGAGGTTCGGATATACTCTTCTCAGGAAACGCTTTTGTACCCTCTCAATCTCGTTATTTAGATATTTCGGCAACGAGTTATGGAACACTGGTGATGCGTATTCCAAGATCGACCGGATACATGCGCAGTAAATTAGTATAATATCTTCAATCGGGACCTTTGCTCGTTTAAGTTGTGTTATCAGATATAATCTCTTGGTGGCTTTAGAAACGATTGTCTCTACGTGTACTCTCCATTTTAGATCACTGCTAATCGTAAGCTCAAGGATTTTAGCATTATTCACTATTTCAAGTTCTTTGCCGTTGACTAATATCGGGACAAGCGTGTTACTGGTGTTACTATTCCGAGAAAAATCAATCCTAAGCTCTTTGCATTTGTCTTCATTTAGTTGGGCCAGGTTGGTTTCAGTCCAGTTTTGAACCTCATTAACTCCCAACTGAATTACACTACGCTGACCTTTTTTAAGAATTTCCGAAATAGTTGTGTCATCGACAAATTTCCAAGGATCGCTATGAGATGTTGTCAG